CTTCTCAAAGTTAACTTCTCTTCTGACAAACATATCTGTGAAAGATAAAGAAGAGAAAGAAAAGAATTGACAATTCTCATATCTCTGAGTTCATGTTATAATTACAATGTATACTCTGAATAAGAAGATATCAGTGAGATGTCTACTCAACTCTGAAATAGATATTAACTTCATATTCTATTTCTTTTCTTTAATAAAGAGTTGAAAGAAGATAGATCTGTCAGATTATATGAAATTTACTGATGAAATGAAATATCACTGTTTTGACATAATTTAAGCAAAGTATGTGATCACAGACTCAGAAGAAATCTTTAAGAACAGCAGTCTGCTTCTTCATACAGTTAATATCATAGATGAGAATGTCATTCTAGATCTTCTGTGATTAAGAGAAAACAATTCTTTCATTGACTGAGTCACTCAGATGTGACAGTACTGTCTCACTAATAAAGAGACAGTGATAGAGAAATCTGAAGAGTTTCATCAAAAGAATCTTGAGAAAAAGATTAAGTCAATATACTGTGTAGCAGATGATTGTGACTTGAGAACAGATAAAGAAGTCATTACTCTCACTACAAGATTAGCAGCAGTATCTGTTATTGAAGATAGATATATACAATATCTCTTTACAGATTTTAAGAATATCTTTTTGAAAAGGGAAGTAGCAAAGTTTTCTGATATCAAGATATGATATAAGATTCATCTTGAAGACAGTGTAACAGTGTTGTACAGATCTCTTTATAACTTGTTTATAAAGAAATTGAATGTTCTGTGCAAATATCTTGAAAAAGCATAATCAAAGAACTGAATATATTCATCAAAGAGTTCAGCAGAAGTGTCTATACTCTTTATACTCAAGAAAAATGATAGACTACATCTATACATAGACTAGAGAGGTCTCAATAAAATGATGATTAAGAATTACTATTTATTACTATTGATTGATGAGATGATTGATTGATTATCTGAAGCAAAGATGTTCTCAAAGATTGATATATGAAATGTCTATCATAGAATTAGAGTTAACAAAGATGATGTTTGAAAAATGACTTTTTATATCAAGTATGATAATTTTGAATATCTTGTTTTATCTTTTAATCTTTGTAACACTTCAGTCATCTTTCAGACCTATATAAATGAGACACTGTGAGACCTTGTTAACATCTTCTGCATAGTATATCTGAATAACATTCTAATCTTCTCAAAATCAGAGAAAGAATATGATACTCATATTTAAGAAGTGTTGAGTTGCTTGAGATAGTATTAACTCTATATAAATACTGAAAAATGCTCATTCTACATGCAGAAGATTGATTTCTTAGATTATATTATTGAGATGAATGACATTTCAATGAACAAAAGTCAGGTCTTCATCATTGAGAACTGACTGATGCTGTGAATGTACTGTGAGATGCAGGTGTTTCTAGAATTTGCAAATTTCTACAGATGATTCATCTATGTATATTCATGAATTACTGTTCCTCTTACAGATCTGTTAAAGAGAAGTGTGAAAGACAGGAAAATAAGACTATTTACTCTCACTCAAGATACTATACAGATATTTGTAGAATTGAAACAAGCTTTTGCAGATGTCATGATACTGAATCACTTTAATTCTGACTTACTCAGTCAGTGTGAGACTGATGCATCTGAGAATGAGATCTATGAAATCTTTTCACAGTTGACATCAGAGATCTTTCAATATTGAAAGAATCAGAGAATAATCACTTCTGAAGAAACAGATAATAAATTGTCTATGAAAGAAGACTTTTTCACAGAGTCTATAAGACACTGTGAATAAAGTTCAGTGATCTTCTTCTTCAAGAAGTTATTACTTATGCAGAGAAGGTATAATATTTATAATTAGAAGATGTTAGTAATTATTGAATTCTTTAAGATCTGATAACATTATCTTCAGAGTAGTAAGTACTCAGTGTAAGTTCTCACTGATTATGTAAATCTGCATTATTTCTTGATAATAAAGAGCTTGACAGAATGTTAAGCCAGATGAGTGAAGCTGCTTTTGAAGTATGATTTCTATATCTGATACTGTTCAGATCAGCTTAATCTCACTGATACACTGTCTAGATGATCTGATTATAATATTGTTAATACAGAGAAGAATTCTATAAAAGAATCTCTGTCATCACTGCAGAAGAAGCTGACTGTAGAGAATTGAAGTTCTCTGAAGCTCAGAAACAGCACTGAAGAGGCAGCTGTGTAACTCAGTATAGAAGATGAAAGAAAACCTGAGTCTCTGTAGAGAACTGATACTGAAGATCATGAGCTTCTTATATTATATCTTATAATCATTGAATTGACAAAGAATGAAATAATCTATAATCTTTTAATCTGACTACTTTTGAAATTTATTGATAAGTTACAGAAGAGAAATATCTCTACTACAGCTTGAATTCAGAAGTTGAAGAAGAAAGAGTCTGATTTAAACTTGAAAGAGACAGACTCTGATTGAGATGATACTGCTAAGAAATCAAGTCACTGATAACTAGAAGAATATGAACTTCTACTGTTGAATAATTCAGTCTTCATCTCTTGTAGCAGAGTGATGTGTCAGAAGTTATTAAGAATTCATTATAATAATTCTCATATGAGACACTTTGAGTTAGAGAAGACTGAGAAGCTTCTAAAATGTAAATACACTTAAGATAAGCTCTGAACAGATATCAAAGAGTATATTAAGACTTACAATATCTGCTAAAGAATAAAGATCTCACAGTATAAGCAATATAATGAGTTAATATCACTGCCTGTTTCAAAGAGCTCATGATAGAATCTATCAATGAATTTCATAGTTGATCTGCTGAAGTTGATAAGAGTCAAAGAATATGACTTAATTTTGATCATTGTTAACTGCTTTATAAAGATAATCAGATATATTTCTATTTATAAAAAGATTAAAGTCTCTGAATTAACTGATCTGTTTTTAGATATCATTATTTATGATCATGATGCTCTGAAATTATTAATAACAGATCAAGAATTCCTCTTTATCAGTAAATACTGATTGACTTTTTACTATCATCTTATAATAAGATATCTTCTCAGTACTGTATTTCATCTGCAGACTGATAATCAGACTGAATATCAGAATCAGACACTAGAACAGCATCTTCAAGTGTTCTGTTTATATTATCAGAATAATTGACTTAAACATCTTCTAATCACTGAATTCATATATAACAATGTAAAGAATGTAATCTTAAAGATATCTTCTTTCTATACTTGTTATAAATATAATTCTTTGTTACTCAGTGATGTCACAGATAATGTTTTAAAGAAAGAAATAGACAGTCAGAATATTAGATAGATACAGAGAATAAAGTATCTCTCAGTGTTAGAAGTAAAAGTGAGATTGAAACTTTTGAATAAAATTCATGAGAAGACAGTGAAAAGCATTCATCATGTTCAGAAGTGATAGATAAAATACTATAATTAAAAACATCTTTCAATGAAGTTCTTAATAGAGAATCAAGTACTACTTTCAGCAAAGAATATCAAGATAATAAGACTGTGTAAGAAGCTCAGTGAGCAGTGACTAGAATCTTTTCTGATAATAAGAGTGATGAGTAAGCAGATATATAAGTTGAAATTACTTACAGAATTGAAATCAATTCATTCTGTTTTTCACATTTTCTATTTAAAGCTCTATAAGCAATGCTCTGAAACAGAGCTGTTTTAACTGAATGATATTGAGATTGAGAGTGATACTGAATATCTTATAAAGAAAATATTAAATAAGTGAATATATTACAGTAAGCTTTAATATCTCATTAAATGAGAAGATTATTCATTGTCAGAGAATTTGTGAAAACTGCTTAAGTATTTGAAAAATGCTGAGAAAGAGATTGTAAGCTATGAGATGACTAGTAGAGACTACTCTATTACACACTAGAGATATTGAATAAGAAATGCTACTTGAGACTTCTTATTTTTCTTAAAGAATTTTTTAGAGATAATCTTACAGTGATGAGCTGATGTCTTATAAGCTCTGTAGCACTCTTCTTCTATTTTCTCTCAAAGAGTTTTTAGAAGTTTAATGAGACTACACAAGTGTAAAATTTCTGAAGCAGTTAAAAGAAAAGAAATATTTGAAATCAATAAAAAGATTAATATTATTAACTTGTGAGCTGCTGTTATTCTAATAAGACTGCAGTCTGTTGAAAAAGTAAAAAGAGAGATCAGAGTCTACTTATTAATAATCACATTCTTATTAAACTTATTCTTCACTATTAAAGTCTCTGATATCAGTATCTTTATCTGCTGAGAAGTTAGCACTGCAGCATCATAGAGAAGTATACTGTAGAAGAGTATAAGAGATGCTTAAAGTATTAACTTATTAATTTATAAAGTATCTTGATTATCTACTTTAATTAAAGTGAGATTCTCTTCAATCAGTGATTAATCTTCATAGCACTTTCAACAGTAGTACTGACTGACTTCTTCTTAAGATCAGTTATTCTGAGATGTTTTTTCATCTCAGAGATTCACACTTTCATCTTCTTTTACAGATAAGTAAGAAGAATCTTCTCAGTCTTGATAAAATCTGTTAATACTTGAAGCTCTGAGACTCTCACTCTGTACTTTTTATCAGAGCTGACACAATGTCTTTCTGTGAAAAAATACTTACAGAGAGACAGGAGTTGTTGTTACAGATACAATGAAAATAATGAAAGTGAGAGAAGAGACAGATATATAAAATCTCTCTCTTCTTCAGCTGCTTAGTACAGTACAGACAGATGACAGTGCTGATCAGAAGCTGCATCAGAGCCTCTTCACAGAGAGAAGATAAAGAAACTGTGAGACTCTGCAGACTCAACTCAGCAGCATTCTGAGCAGAGCTCAGACATGCCATGAAAGAGAAACTATGAATTAAGCTTCTCAGAGTCACTGTTTCTGAAATCAAGCTCTTTCCAGAGTTCTCTCTGAATGATCACATGAGGTCATATGTCACTGTGTTGATTAAGGGGGGAGGCAGCGTCGCAATGACAGTGAGGGGAGCAGGGGAAGAACTGAACACAGATGAACTGACCGGCAGAAGGGACAACATCTCACTGCAAGACATGGCAACTGCTGCCACGGCTGCAAGAGAAGCAGGAGAAGGAGGAGAAGAAGATGTGACAATGAGAGTGATGCTTCTGCAGTCTGTTAACACTGTCATCTTTATCTTCAACTGAGCTTTCTTGATAGTCACAGAGACTGCAGTCACATCATGAAGATATTTACTCACTAGAAAATGTTAGAATAAGCTCCTTATTATTCTTCAAGAATAATACTCTCATACACTCACTGTTACAATTGAGAGAAGAGAAAGAAAAATATTTCATAAGAGAGAGAAATCTTTTCAAAAAAATCCTGTTACTACTGTTAGCTTTGTCTCTAAAATACATTACTTTTACAGAGAATTTCATATATAGAATAAAATATGATAAGAGATCTGTAAGTCACTTATTAACTATATTTTCTTCATCTTAAATTGATATATAAGAAACTCACTTATCATATGTTTGATTTGAATAAAGATGAGTAAAGAAAGATCTACACAGTTAGCAGAAAAACTCATCTATTTCTTTATATCACATACAGTATATACACTGTTAATCAGTTGATAACTGTTGCTATATAACAAAGATAATTTCTAATCTAATGATCTTGAGAGTATAGAGACTATGCTCTTAAAGAGAAGAGTATTATCACACTCTCAGCTGTGCTAAGACTCTGTTATAATTTCACATGACTTATTGCTTTCATGTGAATAATTTCATCTCATCTGAACTGATTTTCAATCACTCTATGACATTATTCAGATATATTATAGAAAGATTTAATTGATAAATATAAGAATCTCACTTCTATACAAGATCAGCAGATTACTCTTTCTTGATAATAAGACACTGCTGAGATATCACTTCAGCTATTCTTGCTTATGAAATGAGAGAAGAGTATTCACTCATTATCTATATAGAATAGCTAGGTGCTGACTTCTCATTAAAGAAGTCAGTGATTTGTTTTTCTTCTACTGAAATATATATAAGAGTTACTGTGTATCTTATATAATCTTCTTAATATACTAAGTATTATATCTGTGATATTCTCACAATAACTCTGTAGTCTACAAGCTTGCTATTCAAGCAAGATAGTCAAGCTCATTCATACAGCTTCTCAAACAACTACCTCTACGTGTTGCCGCTGACTAGCCACCGCTTCGGTTCCGCCACGTTACATATCTACTCTTATCACATTTTTCAAATAAGATCATGATTTTCACTTCTCAATTTAAATTATTTTTATTGCTTTAAATGACTTTAAATCTCATTTAAGCATTATCAAAAAGTGTTACTTTTTAAAAAATTAAAAATAGTCTAAAAAAAACCTTAAAATGTCTAAAAAAAACCTTAAAATGTCTAAAAATAGTAACTTTATACTAAGAATGAGACTAAATGAGATTAAATGAGATCACTTTCTTATTTTTTCAAGTCATGGTTTCATTTTAAGATCTGATATATAGTCACTTTGCATGTTTTTTTGATAGCTAGTCTCAGCAGAATTCACACCAAGAAATGTATGAGATCAGATCAAATGAAATTAAATGTGAAATTCATAATTCTGACAGTCAGTCTATCTGTAATCATACACTGACTCAAGCAACCTTTGAATCACAAGAAATTAAATACTTAATAGACTTTCTATCAGAAACTCAAGCAGTCATAAGAAAATGACTGAATTCAGAAATATCTGAATATGAAGAGATGGAAATTAATCAGATATAGTCTGTTGAAACAGCTATATAGTATCTTTTAATAACTTTGTTTTATTATTATCTCTCTTTACTTTACTTTTTTCTTTTCTGTTCTTTTCTATCTACTTATTTAATGTGTGTATCTTTAAGAGTGTTTTCTTGTTTCTTTTGTCATAATATTTTCAAATGATTTCAAAGTATCAGAAGGTGTTAAAATACTGTAATTTGTAAAGAGTTTTTATATTCTGAGCTAGAATTTTCTGATTTTGTATATCTGAAATTGGTAAATGTATAATAGTTAACTCTACAGATATTAGAACAACTCTGAGAACTAGAAATTCTCAGGTAGATGTCATAGTCTCTGACTGTATTATGTATACATCTATAATTGAAGAATAATAATAATAATAATAATAATAATAATAATAATCTAGATATTTACACAGAATATTCAATTTCTTTACTGATAAGTTGTAAAGAGGTCTGTACAGTGTCATTATATCATCTTTAAGACAGATCTTATATCATATCTTAGTGTTAGAAAACTTTGCTGCCTTCTTTTCTGAAAAGACATTCTTATAATCTGCAAAGAGACATCATATTTATTCATCTTTAATAACAGATACTGCTGCTAATCTTACAGTGAGAGTGATGATTTTTTCACCTGTTCTCAAGTTCTCTACTACACAGTATATTAACTTTATCTTTTTCTCAAGATTCTTCTAATGAAACTCTTCAGATTTCTCTATTACTATCTCTTTATCAGTGAGATAATATCATTACATCTAAGTAACTCAGTCAATGAGAGAATTGTTTTCTCTCAATTATAGAAGATCTAGAATAATATTCTTATCTATAATATTAACAGTGTGAAGAAGCAGACTGCTCTTCTTACAGATTTCTTCTAAGTCTGTGATTACACACTTCACTTGAATTATGTTAAAACAGTGATATTTTATTTTATCAGTAAATTTTATATAATCTGATAAGTCTATCTTCTTTCAACTCTTCATTAAAGAAAAGAAATAGAATATGAAGTTAATATCTACTCTAAAATTAAGTAGATATCTCACTGATATCTTCTTATTCAGAGTATTTATTATGATTATAATATAAACTCAGAGATATAAGAATTATTAATTTTTTTATTTCTCTTCTTTATCTTCTACAGATACATTTATCAGAAGAAAAGTTAACTTTAAAAAAATATCTTCTTAGTTTCTTCTCTTCTTCAGCTTCTTATAATTACTAGTATAGTGATTATTAGCTTCACAGTTAAAGCAGAGATCTTTATTAAATCTTTTTTAATATTTCTTCACAGTGAGTGAAGAATTGAAATACTTGAAATTCTTCTTTATATTATCTGTACTGAAGCTGTCACAGTACTGTTTAGATTTTATTATTAATTATTTAGAAGAGATCTTATTAGTCTTTTTTTCAGAGTATTGATTACTTAAATATATTCAGAAAGTTAAGTTAATAAGCTCAGTATAATTAATTAATAAAGTCTGATACTGTAATATTATTATTCATATCTTATAAGTCAGCTTTATAAAATAAAGCTATATCTTTAATTAATTCAAATTATCAGTTAATTTCTCTCAATATTCTTCAAATCTTATATTAAAATTAGAAGAATTCTTATTAACTTATTAATTTAATTAGTTGAACTACTGTATCACTGTAAAGCTGTAATTACAGTGATCTTCAATCTGATTCAGTAGAAAGTATTTGAATTCTTCTTAAATTATAACAGTATTAATATACTCAAGCTCTCTCTTCTTAGTAACTTAAGTAGTTATAGAGATGTCTTTAAGAAGATTGACAGTATATATTACTTATATCTTATAAGTATTAAACTGACTTAAATTAAGATAAAATTTTCATTCAAGAATACAGATAAAGTTATGAAATTCAGATAATATATTTTTCTTATAATTCAGAGAATTTTCAATCTTAATCTCTCTATCTTTATAATAGATATAGAAGTGTAGAGACTGCAGTAATAACAGAGTAATTAAAGATATTATATTAAAATATACAGTGAGTTCAGAAATCTCAAATTTCTATTAGAGTAAAGATGTATACACTCTAGAGAATAATATAAAGTTTCTCTTAGAGAGTGAGATTAGACCAGTCTCAGTATAAGTATATAAAATTATATTAGTCTGTTAATAGAGCTTAACTGATTCAAACTTATAATCAGATTAAGTGATTTGAATTATAATATAATAAAACTGAAGCAATGACTAGTTAGTAGTATTATATAGATAGTTATTTAAGAAGCTGTATAAGTGAGCTTAACTATCTTACTTAAATAGTGAGCTTATGAACTACAGAGTTATTATAAGAATATTATAGATATAGTACTTAATATACTAAGAAGATTATATAAAAAATACAGTAACTCTTATATATATTATCAGTCAGAAACAAATCACTGACTTCTTTAATAAGAAGTCAGTATCTAGCTATTCTATATAAATAATGAGTGAATACTTCTCTTCTATTCTATAAGTGAGAATAGCTGAAGTGATATCTTAGCAGCATTTCACTATTATAAAAGAGTAATCTGCTGATCTTATATAGAAGTGAGATTTATATATTCATTAATTAAATCTTTCTATATTACATCTGAATAATGTTATAGAGTGATTAAAAACTAGTTTAAATAGTCTGTGAGATAAATGAAATCATCTGCAGAGAAGTAATAAGCTGTGTGAAACCGCAATGAGATCTTGATACGGCTGAAGATATGATACAGATATTACGTTATTCTTTCTAAACAGTGAGTTAATTACTTCTACAGATATGAAAGAAGCTTGTATTTATATTAATGAAATAAAACTTAATCTTCTTAATATTTACTATATACTGAGAGTCTTCTGTAATCTCTTAAGCTTCAGCTAACTTATTAATAAAGAATTTGAATTTAAACTTCTTTGTAATAAAAACTACTAAATAATTAAATTTGAAATAATTAATAAGAATAATCAAAGATTCTACACAGTAATAATTAATTATCATATTTATTTTATTTATAACATCTGAGAGACTGCTCTTACTACAGTTGTAAAAACTATTTTAAATTACATATTTCTCTCTGTAATATATATTATATTAAATATTATCACATTTATAATACTGCTGCTGCAGATGTTATTAAAATCATATAAATAGATATTATTAGTATGAATATGAACATCTACAGCCAGAAAAACTGTGAAGATATCTTGATAAATACAGAGTCTTATCAGTCTGCTACTCTTACAGTAGTTCATTCATTTATTTTACTATTTCTTTATTTTTTTTTATTCTTCAATTCTTGTTAGTTCTCTGTAAAATCTTTGATGAAAGACACTACTATTTTTGTATATAATATTCTTTCTCTAGTTATAGAACCGCTCTGCTGGGTTGCAAATGTCTACTTAGCAGAGCAGCAGTTAAGAGAGGTGTCATATTTTCTCTCTACAGGCCGACCACTTCCGCCTATGCAAAGTGTTCGCCAAGGCGTCCCAGTTGACCAGTCTATGCGCGGAGAGAGCGGATATATACATCTTGAAGTTTTCCTTCCCCCCCCTCCCCCCTCTCCCCCCCCCCCTTTTTTTTTTTTTTTTTTTTTTTTTAGCGTGGTTTGTTCGTGATGTAGTTATAATGTACATACGTAGGCACGGTAGGCTCGTGATCATTATTTCTTCCAAAATTGGATTTTTTTTTTTTTTTTTTTTTTTTTTTTTTTTTTTTTTTTTTTTTTTTTTTGGCTTTTACCTGGTATTCCGTCTATATTTATGACGGTAGAATAACCATCGCACAATCAAGGCCATAGGGAGAGCAAGAACAAGAACAAAGGGGGAATGGGCCGCGAAAAGCTCTTGGGTCATCTATTTCCACGATTTCATTCTTCTTGTTGCATTTGTAGCTCCTCTCGGAGCAAATCAGCAACCAAAGGTGAATTAAGCTCAGTGGACGCATCCCGTATGATAGAATCCCAAACATCAGGGTCCAGTCGGCGTAGCGTCCGAACCCAGTCGGTCAATGGGCTTGGGTCGCTATCCATGTCCCAATTCCCGCGGTCCACCCCATTAACCAGCAAGAAGTCTTGCAGATCGCGTAATCCGTGGTTGAAAAGATACTCTTCAGGATATGACTGTGAGTCATCATCAGGTTGATCTTCACCCGGGCTATCACCACTCTGAGCTGGGTGATGATACGGTGGTTGTTCATTTTCAGAATCCGCCTGCCCGTTCTCAAAATCACGATCAACTGCTTGTCCATTGAGCCCAAATATCTCCCTTGCAACGTCAAATATCCTCGCAGGGTGGGTGTTGAAAGATGGATCAGTTATCGGCTCGCCCGGTGGTAAAGGGTCGGAAGCTGATATGCGCCCGGCAACAAAGTGACGGGGAAGATGAGTAGTGACTGAAGGGATATCTGACAACAGAACGTGGCGAGCGACGCCAAGTGTGACCTCAGGAGGCTTCACATCCAAACAATTTTTGGTAAGGGTGTCTCCTACCTCGACGAGGACGGAGATAGCCTCAGGGGTATTCCAGATATCCTTAGCTCGGGCAATGTAGAGTTCGCAAAACAATTCGTGAGCTTGATTTGGTGCCTGCACACCCCATATTTGTTCTGGTATTGGTTCTATGTTCAGTTCCTGTGCTAAGCGGCAAAAGATCCAGGGATATCGAGACATCGCTTTCCGGAGCTGTGACCGAAACTCTGCTGGTTTACCCTGGAGGAAATAGGCCAGGGCGAGCGAACATTGAATATTAGGGAATTCCTCCCACCGACTGTCAAAGAATGGGTGGGAACATAATCTTATAAAATGGTCGTGCTCTCTTCCTCTAATAGCTAAGGAATCAATTATCAAATTTATCGCGTATGGGTCGTCAGGATTCAGGCTTAGAAGTAGCTTTGCCCACTCGTAGGCAGTTTTCAGAGTCCCCTTCATCTCCAAATTCTTGATATATCTCCAGCCTGCAAGCCAGAACTCCCGATTTGCCGCGATGTCGAAGTTCAATCTGGCTTTTCCTTCTTTTAGGCGGTTGCCGAATGAGGAATGGACCGAACGACCTATATTGAACAAGGCTCTTTCAAGTAAATCCCCAGAGACGGCATGATCACCCTGATGCTTCGCAATCTCGGAGACTTGCAACAGACTCAAAATGTGATAAGCTGTGTAATTGTAAGTAAAGAACTGTACAGCACTACTATCATTGGTTGGACGCCACTCAACTTACGATTATATTGTAGGTGATGTATAATTCTCTCTGGTTCCATTGACTCGACACATATTTCAAATTGTCTTTGGGCATCCTCGTAGGCTGTATTATGAACGAGCTTATATTCTGTTTGGCCAGATGGCAATTTGTTCACAACCTCCATCCCCAGACCTCCACTTGTCGCCCGCGGCCATTCATCCTTTGCTTGCATCAAAATATTTTTACGCAACGCAGCGCCCGCAAGATCCTGCCCACGGCTTACGGGATTATAGCGTCCGGTGAGCGCCCGTCCAAGATCCATAGGCTGATTTCTGTTTCTTCGGCCTGTACCCGTACCTGTGGTTTCGGCTGTATTTTCAAACACCACGTTGCCGAACAACTTCTTCATCTCATTGATCGCATTGAGACGCCGTTGGTCAATAGCGAAAAGTTCGTCAAGCTCCTCCGCTAAGCGTTCATCCGCGGCATTCTGTCGTGCTTCCAGGTTCACGTCATCAGTCTGCTGCGAATTCTTAATAGACAAAGCTTTCAGTGCGCGGTCAATCTCATCCAGCTCCTCTTCATCTGTGCCCGGTACATCTGAGGCTTTGATCTCCGTAGCAGCCGTAGCTTTCTTGGTACGTTTCTTTTTCTTCTTCCTTCTCTTGGTATCTGTGGGTTTTGAAGGGGTGAAAGGCCTCGCTAGCGTTTGGACCGGCTCAGTGATTGAGGTTTCTGAGTCAGGTTCGTCTTCAGGATCCTGGCTTCCTAGCAAGTCAAAGGCGTTAAACTTCGTTTGGGACCTTTGAAAATCATGTACGTCGTCGTCCGATTCCTCATGCGAAGTATTCGCCGCCTCCTGTCCTTGCTGCTTTTGCAGCTTCCGTAGCGCTCTGGAAGACATGACCGTGGGATTGGTAGCGGAGTTGTTCACTCACGTTAAAGTTGGCAGTAGTGGGAGAAAGAAAGAGGGCGGTGGCAGAACATGGCCAGCGACATAAAGTCGGCTGTCTACGCAAGTGTACGAGACGCCTGAGATGGGGCAACCGATCCCGCCAGCCATGGCGGAGACCCAAGACCTAACGGGGACTACCCAATCGCAGCATTGCAGTAGTTGGAATGATGCCGAGTGCTATAGCTTAGTCATCCTCCGCCCATGCAGTAGTTAGATCCTGTTGGGGGTCCCGCGGTTGGTCGGCCCTTCTACCAGCAGGCGCTGGTGGTAATTGAGCTCTTTTGCCCCAGTAGCCTACAGATCCCTTATCTCAGCAAGCTCAGACGCTGTTGGACGTCTGAGTGGTTGTATTGATAGCTATCTAGTGGGCGATATATGCTTGGTGCGGGGCGCTAGTCCGTACTAGGAAGCCTAGGGCTCCCACACCCCCCCTCAGACTAGCTACTGTGCAGTTATCCTATCTATCCTTCTCAAATCATTCAAATCCGCAATAATAATTAATTACAAAAAGCAGCACCTAGTTTCCTCATTAGGACTAGGCCTGATACATGAAATTACCGCACAGTAGTGCTCAAATTCTTCAAATTCATCACATTCATTGTATTCATTTGTATTTGTCTGTATTTGTTGTATTCATCATATTCATTTATCTCTCCCCCTTTCGGTGGTTGTGAGGTCTCAGCTTGTAGTAGTAGTGTGGATGAGTGATTCTTGTGGTGACTCTTGTAGTGATTCTCATGATGGTTCTCGCGGTGATTCTCATGACAGTTCTTGCAGTTATTCTTGCAATGGTTCTCACAGTGGTTCTCACAGTGAATGGAGGGTGGCTAGGAGCAATGGCAGTGGTAGGTGTAGTAGTTGTAGGAGTGGCAGTGGCATGCATAGCCAGTTAATCCATCAAATCATCCCTCTGTTCAAAGATATTCATTTGATTTCATATTGACAAAGAATCAGAGTCTCCACCTAGTTTTTGTATGAGTATTTCCATCAATCTGTCCTGTTTCTCCATGTATGCCATCATTCTCATCATCAAGGTGTATTCATTCATTTGACCTGGTTCACCTCTAGGCCCAGGGTATTCATTGTTTTCATTCATATCCGCGTCGCTTATAGGTGTATCTTGCTCATATTCTTCATTCATATCCATGTTGCTTGCAGGTGTATTCAACAATCCTGCAGTAGCTCACATTCTTAGAGACATTTGTTTACTCTCTTGAATCAATCTTTTCCCGCGATCAAAGCTTTCAAAACAGTTGCTTTTCATCAGAATTCTTTTTTTTTTTTCATGATCAAAGCATTCTTGACCTCTCATCAGAATTCTGTTTTCCCCGCGATTGAAGCTTCCCTGGCTTCTTGTCAGAATTCAGCAGTTGATATAGAAGATGCCACTTCTTTTCCCTGTAATCAAAGCTTTCAAACAGTCACCTTATATCAGGATTCTTCTGCAGTTCAGCAATGCAGCTCATGAGACATTTTGTAAGAATAAGTGCTCGCAGGCGATTATTCGGGTGTTTGCAGCTTGGCGTGATATGTACTGTTAACTACTAAAAGTGTTCATAGTAAGAAGATAAATGTAGAGATCAAATGTATAATAGCATTCAAGCTGAGTTATGAATAGTATTCATGAACTCCAGTCTATATAGTTATGTGTAGCCAAGAGCCACTAGCTCTATTAATTATGTAAGAGATAGAAATAGAGATAAAGAATCTGTGAGAAGCAGAATTTCTTACATACTTCTCTCTCTCTAAGACTTTGTCTGTGAAGCCTTTCACTGAGTGACTTTATAGTCAGCTCAGCACTGCAGTGATACTCACTAAAAATCCTTTATATTTATAAAAAACCTCAGTGAGGAAAAATTCCTTGTTATTATAAAGAGAAAAGAGTCTGTTACTCAGTTTCTTATTCTGTAAGATTCTTTATAATTTACAGATTCTTCTCTGACTATCACACAGATTCATCTCATATCTTTCATACAGAAGAGTTTCAGTTAACTCTTAATTATTTTTATAAGATTCTTATGTGATTATTACACAGATTCATCTTACAGATGAATCACTCTCTATGAGATTACTCTTATTAAAAAGAAATATTTATAAGTTAATCTTTTATTCATTCTTACAAATCATTACTCTTTAACACTGTAGAATTGTGAGGAATTTTTTATTCTTTTATTAACTCTGTAGAATTATAGAATCAAGATATCTGCAGTCTACAATCACTCTTTATAGTTATATAGAAAGATTCAGATCTGCAATTTATAATCACTCTTATTTACTAGAGTAATCTGACTGTTCTATGAAATTATTCACAGTATAAGTAAGTCTCTCTAGAGTAGTATAAATATCTCAGATCTGTCTGTGAAATCTCATCTTCTTTTCTCTTTTTCTATAACAGCTTTCATTCTTATAAACTGTGAGTATTCTTATTCATTTACAAAGTATTTTCACTCAGATAATAGAGAGAGAGTGTTTCTGACAGTGTCTATATATTAATTCAAGAACTTTTCAAGAATAAAAATTTTTTTAATTTTAATCTCTTTATAAACAATGTCTGATTACTGCTGAGCTTCTTATAAGTGTCTCTGCAACTTCTCTGATTACTTTTTATCAGCTGATGAAGCAGGAATATCACTGCTTATAACTGTATCTTCATCTCTTTCAGCTCTGTCACTGCACTCAATCTTCAGATTAGCAGTTAATCCTCTGTCTTCTTCAGATCAGTTTCTGACTTTAAGCAGTGTAGTTCTCTTCTTTACTGTAAGTCTTCTTATAAGTAATTTCTTACAGACTCTAGCTAACAGTTCTTGTGAAGCTCTCAGTGTTATCAGTGTCTTCTACAGCTCTGTGAGTCTATGATCATCTTCTCTCTGTCTGTACAATCTCTGATCAGATATATATAAATATGTCTAGATTTTCTATCAATAGTTCTCATACTGTGATGCATTTCTGCAATCTCATTGCTAATGAGAGATGAGTCTCTGAGTACCTGTAAAATCCAGATAATCAAGATAATGTGAATACTATAAATTTATAATAAGAGTTAGTCTGAGTAGATGAGCTCTCTCTCTGCATTCTCATTGTTTTCAGACTGAATACTTCAGTATAACTGAGAGAGTGAATACAGCTTCATGAGAGATATCTGATCATATATATAGATAATCAGTCTTCAAGACTCTGCTGCAACTGTGTATACTCTGATATTCAGCTTCTCTGAAGTCTGTGTATTTCTGATAATCTTTATATCAAATACAACAATTATCTGTACTATGAGTATAATACTCTCTGCTTCTTTGAAGAGAGAAATTGATAGTTATGAGAAGATTAAGTGTTGTAGATATTAATAATGTGAATATGAGTTTTCTTTATTTTTTCTTTATTAATCTCTAAATTGTATTCATAGCTCTGTTTATTTTCTTATTTTTTAGCTTTAATAAGAACATGTTTTCTTCTTTTCTTATATACACTGCAGACTGTTCATCTCAGTAGAAACTCATTATCTTATAGACTAAAGTTTATAAATAACAGTGTTAATATCTTTATCATAATCAGATTCTTAGCAAAGATTATACTATTCTGACTTATCAGAATTTATAACATGAAAGTCATATCTCAGCTTCTGCAGATATTTTATCTATCTGAATAATTCTTAAGTGAACTTATTCATCTTATCAGAATACTCTTATCACTGAATCTTGAATCAGAGCTCATAATCTTACTTCTCTGAGTTAATAATCTCTTTAATCTGATATTCTCTTTCACTCTCTAGTGCTTCATAGATAGAGTGATAAGTCACAGAGTTTTCTTCTAAGAATTTCTTATATTTATAAAGCAAAGAGATATAAAAAATATTGTATATCTACAACTCAGATAACAGTTTCAATCTATAGAACTATGAGCTAACTTTCTTTATAATCTTACAAGACTCTGTCTATAAGAGATTCAGCTTCTTACTAGATCTCTATATAATGATATTTTCTAGACTCAGTCAGACTCTATTATCTTTCTTAAAACTCTTTATAATATACTTGAAGTCATAGTATCTCTTCTGATACTCTTGAGCCTTTCTCAAGAATTCACAGACTTTCTTCTGAATCTTCTGAATTCTCTCAGCTCATTCACAGACATCATCACACTCTATAGTGTACTCTTACAGATTTATCAAGATTATTCATGAATAAGTCTCAGTGAGTATCTTAAAGAAGGTTTTATCTGTACTGACATGCTTTGAGTTGTTATATATAAACTTTATAAGTAATAATCAATACACTCAGTTATTCTGATTGTAATTAACAAAGTATCACAGATACTGTTTCAATATACTCATCAGATATTCTATCTAATTATCTATCTGTTGATGAAAAGCTGTGCTTAAATCTTATGAGATCTTTAGTATAGTTATCAGATCAGATCAGAACTCTTCTGTGAAGATTAATTCTCTATCTGAGATAATATTCACAGATAATTCATGCAACTGAATCATATTATAAATGAAGATATAAGTCAAATTCTTTGACTTCAAGTTCTTATAAGTGAATATAAAGTGTGTTATCTTGATAAAGTAATTCACTATCATCAGTACACTGTCAAAGCAGATATTATATATGTCCTTACTTTCAGAGAGGCTTATAAGAACATTTATTTCTAGCTATTCTCAAGATTCCTGTAGAATGAGTAGAGAAGTAAGTTCTTCATATAACCTGAACTGCACTATCTGCAAATTCTGATAAATAATATAAGAATTCACTATCTTCTTCACAAGTTCTTACATCTTCAGTCAGAAGTATTTTCTTATAAGCAACTCATGAGTTCTAGTATCTGCAAAATGATCTGTTAGAGAAGAGTCATGATATCTTTTAATAAGTTCTATATATAGAAACTTATTCATAGACACATAAATCTAATTCTCTCTTTATAAGAGATTATTTAAGTCTCTTCAACTCTTTATTTCTGCAGAATTGATCTCTGCTGTGAGCAGTTTCTGAATATACTGAGTATATTTATTCTTCAGTTGCAGTTCAGATAATCTGAATAGAAGATCTTATGAAGACTTATACTCTGTTTTCTCTTGCACTAGGTCTTCTGTAGTGTTTCTCAAAGCCTGCAAACTCTTCAGATTATAGATACTCTCTTTAAGAATTCTTACAGAGATTCTCAGAGTATTGACTCTCAGTGTTGTAAAGAGTAGTTGCACAGGCTTCTCTTCTTTCTTTTTCCTCTTCTCTTATGAGGAATTGAGAGACTCTTCAGTTAATCTCTTTATAACACTCAGTTTAAGCATTCTATGAAGCTTTTCTATCTTCTCTAGTCTCTCTGTGTCTGTTGTTCTGATCTTCTTAACATAGTCTGATCTGTGAGAGAGTCTATCTGCTGAGTTCTTAGTTCTCTTGATATATTCTATCTTGAATCAGAACTTACTCAGTCTCTGAGCTCAGTGAACCTGCTGCTGTGAGAGTTTCTTAATTGAAATAAACTGTTACAAGCTATCATGATCAGTTTTAATAGTAATCACTGTTATAAGGCTCTTGAAGTAGTGATATCAGTGATGAAAGAATTTCACTATTATGAGAAGCTTCTGATTATAAATGTTATAGTTAATCTTCACAGGTTGCATCTTCTGTGAGAAAAAGGCCACTGAAACTCAGTTCTCATTTAACTGTAGTTATGAGACTATTTCTGAAATCATAAAGAAGAAGATATCTGTCTTCAATCTGATTAAGAGTAAGAAATTAAAGTGAAACAGCATCACTGTGTTTATAAATATCTGTTTCAATCTTACAAAGACTCTATAAGCTTCTGAGATAAGAAAGTTCTCACAGTTCTCTCTTCTTAACAATCTTTTTATTCTCTGTTTATGAGATGACTTCTTCTTATTTTCATTCTTCAGCATGTCTATAAGAATCAAGAAGATTCTTGTAAATGCAAAGATAAACTATCTATAGAAATTCACAAAGCTCAGAAAGATCTGAATCTCATGAATACTAGTTAACTCTGATCATGATAGAATAGTCTCAATCTGTGAAGATTTTATCTGAATATCATCTGTAGTGATTATATATTCTAGAAAATTAATCTAATGAGCACTGAAGTTGCACTTTATGAGCTTAATATACAGTTCTGCCTCATCTAAGACCTTCAACACACTTTGCACATGCTCAGTGTGTTCTTTCTTCTTTGCAGAGTACAC